CATTTATTATCATAATATTTAATAGCATAAATTTTTAATGATATATTTTAAATTTCTAATTTATATACGATTTCGCTACGTCGCTATGCAATTTAATACTATTTCATATTACCGTTAACTAACTAATTCAAATATTTAATAAAATACTTCCTTTGGTTGTTATCTACCACTACACGACACCTACTGACAACAACTAGTATCACAACTCCACGTCCTACATATCAACTCCCTTAAGATAAGTAATTATCTTTTAACCTTAGTATCTACAATTTGGGGTAAGCATCCATTGTATAGCTATGAGAAATACTAATTAATATAAAATTTATTCTACTATGACAGTTGTCACTTTCTTCTTGATAAGATACTATAAGACTATTCCATACTTTATTTATTATGTCTTCTTTGTTCTTGTCTAACACATATATATAAAGAAACTATTGTTAATCATAAAATTTTACTTTCGTATTCAACCTATTTAACTCATACATATTAAATCACATATAATAATATGCAACTTATATATTATTACAAAACATCGTATAACCATATAAGATAAATCCATTTAATTAAGATTTGTCCAACTCATTTCATATACGAATTAATTTATAATATAACTTTTTTACCTATAAATATTCCATGTTAAATCGAACATCAAACCAATATTGTTTATTTCTTCCTATATTGTTCAATTTTTATACTGTTTCTCTTTTCTGTATTTTTCCTTTCTCTTATAATATTCTATATCTTATACTGCACTATTTTATATACTATACCATTTACTGTACTATTTATTTAATTTCATTTTATAGCCTAGTACATAATCATGAGAATGTTTGATACCCGAGTCTCATTGAGTGTACTCTTATATGCACTTAAAAGTGCCTCGTAGATATATTTGCACTCGAAAGTGCCTCGTAAAATTGCACCATAGGTGCCATACAAACATGTATCATATAGTCACTCCACCTTATGCACCACAAGGGTACTCAAGTCTCATTGAGTGATCAGTACAATATTCAATTACCACTCCATCTCATACGCCACAAAGGTACAAGAGTCTCATTGAGTGATCTGTATAATATTCAATTATTACTCCACCTCATGCACCACAAAGGTACATGAGTCTTATTGAGTGATTTGCACAGTATTCAACAATCATTCCATCTCGTGCATCATTGACTCTTATGTTTTATACATTGGTCTTTGATTTAAATCTTATATCCCTTTTAATATAAAACATTTATAGAATAATTATCAACTTCATATATTATTTTAACATATATTAAATCTTTAATTAACTTAATAACTCATGTTCGTATAAATATTCTAAAATTATTATTAATGTATATGCAATACTAATTTCTTTTAGCAAATCGAAATTGACTTTAATTCTATTAAATTATCCTTCTAAGTCCTGTTAAATAATCGTTATTATTATTTTTACAATCATTCACTTGACTTTTCAACATTTCACATTTAACCACTAGTAAACTTTTCTTTAAATTATAAATCTAATATTTTGTATATAAACAAATTAGTTCCTTAATATTAAATTTAAATCCATTTCAATTATTTTCACATTATATCAAATCTAATACGTTAACTTTACCTAATTGTCATTGTACCACCAACTTTCCTAAAACTTATGAATTGAACCTCTATCTTATACAACTTTTCACATTGATCCAAATTCCAATTTAACTATTCAAGTTCCTCTAATAATTATTTAGACTTTACACATCATCTCATGCTCAATTTATGCTTTAATATGCAATTTATCCATATTTATAATTTTTTTCTTTAGTTTATACAATCTTCCAAATTCTATTCTCTATCCATAATACCATAATTTTCACTATAGGTTAAATTCTTTTAAATTTTAATCTCAACTTTTCTATTTTATTTAATATAGTCATTTTTATCATTTAGTCCTAAATTAAAGTATCCTACAACAAATTCAAATGCTCCAACAACATGTTCAATTTCTATTCATTAACTTATAACAAATCTCATTTCAATACCCGCTACTTAAATAATTTATAACTTAGTCATCAATCTTAACAATTTTATAAATTTAATTTCAATTCATGCTTCAATTAATATAACCAAAATTTCCAACCTTTTAACATAATACCTTAATAATTAAAATTTTTTCACTTAAGTCACTACCTATCTTCATAATTTACGTTTTAATCCCTAAACTTTACCAAATTTCGAAGTTAATCAAATTTCATGTTATAAGCATATAAAATAACTCATTCATCATTTTTAAACCTTGTATAATTTTTTCCACAAATTTTCTTTATCTTCTTCCCATAGGCCTAATTGATTAAAATGTATTAAGCTTGATTTTCAACATGATTCATGTATGATTTGATTTCGTTAACAACATTTCCATATATTTCTCATAATTATCATGCTAAGATACTGTTCATATGGTACTGATACCAAAGGTAAGAGAAGTATCGATACTCACTAGGTAGTATCAATACTACCAACAATGCTCAAATTCCAGAATGCAAAAATAGTACTGATACCCAAAGGGGTACCGATACTACTCTGTATAGTAGTATCGATATCATAGGCATAATATCGATACCATGAAGCCCCAACAGCTAGTTGATTTAAAAATAACAAAGGTAGTACTGATACTCCCTTAGGAGTACCGATAACCTCTGTTATGGACAGTTTTATTTTGCTCGAAAATTGATCACCAACAGCTCCAAAACACTCCCAATGGCTAGAAATGACCACAACAAAATCCCAACATATAAATACGAGTTGAGGACACTTGAAGAAGGGTTAGAACACCTATCCAAGCAATCAAACACAAGAGAAGAACTTTTCACTATTTATTCCAATTTTCTTGTAAATATTTTTGTTTTAGTTAGCTAAATTTTGTAGACACCTACCTTAGAGAGGTTTATTTGTTTACTCCTTTTATCCTTTTGTAAAGGGGTTTTTGGTTCTATCTTAGCCAAGTAAAAAAATAGGGAGTTTGTAAAGGTTACTCTTGATCCTTGAAAAAGAAAGAACAAATTAGTGAATTTGTTAGAAAATCCTTAGTGAGGAGCTAAGGTAGTGGAGGTAGACTTAATTGAGAAGTCGAACCACTATAAATCCTTGTGTCCATTGTCTTATCTTTTACTCTCCTTACTCCCTAAACAAATTTTTATCAATTCACACCTTTGCACATTTTTCGGTTGTTTTATTTTAGCCTCTTCGATCCTAACAATATTTATTTAGTTATTTATTTCAATATATGGATTTTAAGTGAATGAATATGTCACTTTGAAAAAAAGTTGGGTTAGGCACTCCGGTAGTCCATCTGACGTAATAGTCTGTCAATCTTCGGGTTGTACTGGATTAGGACATTACAATTATAACATGTCTTAAGTTTGTTATGCAAAATTAAAATCTGAGATGAAATCAAACCTGAGAAAAAAAAAAGAAATTAAACTTCTTTAAAAATAAAACAAAATGTATGAAAAGGAAAATACTCTTTTGTTTGATCTTTTGATCGGAACCAGTTGAGGTCTGTTGCTACACAGTTTCCTTAAGACAAATTTTCGGCCACTCCTTAGGTGCTTGAGATCTTTTGTCGTCTGTCTCCCAGGATAAAACAACATGATGATCAACGAACAATAGCACAAACTTTCGAGATCACGAACAATTTCTAATCTTTTCCTATCATTGGAAAACAAGTGAATGAGAGAAAATATTTTTTAAAAAAAGTAGAAGTTCTTGAATTCTGAGATATGAAAAACCTAGTAGGTTAGCTCAGTATTAATAGGTGATTTTCAAGAGAGATTTACTCCAAGCAGATATCTTTTAATATAAAAATTTAAATAGATAATAATATTTTTTAATTTGAAATACTCAAAAGATATAACACATTTTACTATTCAAACTTAAATAGATATTATTTTAATTTAAAATATTAAGATGGATATAATTATTCTTTTGATATTCAAATTTAAATAGATAATAAATACGGTTTAATTTAACATATTCAAAAGAATAATTATCCTACTAATATTCAAATTAAAAAATATATTTTGATTTTATAATATTCAAAAAGAATATGAATTTAATGTAAATATTAAATCCATTAATAAAATTCATTTTTTTAACATGTACATTGCATAATTATGTAACCGCTAAAACTCCTGACTTAATAATCTGCTACACTATATTCTGGAAAGTCTATTACTATTGTTTTGTTCCAAATCATTTATTTATCATTTTGTATTTTGTACGAGATTCTGATTATTAAGATTGTAGTAATATTGCAATGGCGATTCATGGCATTTATTTATGTAGTTCATTTGTATCGTGGTGGATCCAGAAATTTAGAAGTAGAAATAAAAAAAAAATAATACTCTTTTTCTCAATACAATGGGTATGAAAAATTTCTTGTTTTTTTCTTCTTTCTTTAATATATTGAATTTTATTTAATATCTAATCTAAAATAATAAGTATGCATTTAGCCCCTATGGGGCCATGTGCATCCGCCTCTAATTTGTATACCACTGCTTGGGTACTGGTATATGATTTTGTTATACGATTATGTCTTATTACCGTCCAATGGAGAAATAATATGTATTATGAGTATTGAAGTACTCTACCCATGAAGACTACTTGGTGAACATATAGGTAGCATATGTTCTCTGATTATTTTCTGTACCTGCATTTCGCGAGAGCTTAAGAGATGTCACCATAGGACATAGCCCCATACATATTTGTTTTAACGAGAAGCTCTTTGATAAGCTTTCGCTGTTTAAGCAACAATATTATGAAAGAAAAATGATCGTTTAGAAGTTTTTTTGGTCTCGAAATTAGTTAGGTCTCTCATGAACTTACTAGAATGTATACACGTATCTTTTTAAAAATCTATTTTAACTAGGAAAATAAACCAAAACTAATCCCGTTAACTATGGAAAGTGAGAGTCAAAAGTACGAAAACCCTGAAAGATTTGGAAGTATTTAAGTGGAAAATGTGACGAGCATCTGATTCTTTCTTCCATTATCTAATCAGGTATGATATCTTTGGCTCTAACTCGTTTATGGCTCTACTCTTTTTTCTTTCCCATTGGATCTCAATAATAAAGAAATATCATGTATAGTTTTGTTGGTTATTTTGTGACCTTTTCTAGATATTGTTGGTACGGTGGCAGCCATGGATTCATTCAAAGGGCAAGGGGGCATTCAGATGTTGCTAACTGCAGAGCAAGATGCACAGCACGTAGTTACAAGTGCTAGAAACAGTAAGAAAACTAATTATGATATTACACGATGATTAGCTGATTAAATATACTTAATTTTGTTATTTCCTTTTATATTTTTCTGTAATTCAATTTTTGATGTTGAAGTACTTATTAAATGACTTCAGGAGGAGTATTGATTTTTCTTGAGCTTTCGGATTCAAATAATTATGTATGTAGGGTATATGCAATATTGCTAATTGATTAACGTATACTATCTTGTAATTACTCCAGACAAATAAAAAAATAGATGTTAAATTTTCACTTAAATTATGTCATTGCTCAGTGAAGATGGCCAGGCTAAAGCAAGCCAAAGAAGAGGCCGAAAAAGAGGTTGCCCTTTACCGCTCCCAAATGGAAACCGAATATCAAAACAAAATATCGGAGGTACGTATAGATTGATAAATTTCTATATTAAATTTTATAAGTCATAAATGACTGTAAATCTGAATTACGATAATCTTTGCAGTCAACCGGAAGCTCTGGAAATACAGTGAAGAAACTTGAAGAGGAAACCGATAGGAAGATTAAGGCTTTGACGAAATCAACCACGATGGTATCAAAAGAAGTAGTTGACATGCTCATTGAACACATTACAAGTGTGAAGATTTGATATATGCTGGTAGAAACTTATATGTTTCTTATATTTGACACGATAGATCTAATAAAGCATTTGATGTTTCCAATTCTAATAATGATGTAAAGGACCCAGCTTTTTCATTCATTTTCTGAGGATGGTTTAGTTGGAAACTTTCATATTCTAATTGTCTTAATACAAAAATAAGTAGTCAAACTATACCTAAAGTTAACTTTTGGTGTTTAAAAATAAGTAGATATTACAGTTTTAGGTGCCTACTGTTAAAAGAACCCGTTAAGTGACATGCGTCACATTTATATTTTTATTTTTTTAAAATAAAATATTATTTAAAAACATTTTTTAAAAACTCTGATCATGACACGTGTCACTTAACGGTTTTTTAACGGTAGTCCCTAAAAATATAATGGATAAAACATTAAACACTTATTTTTAACAGAAAAAATCTTTAGACATCAAACGTTAAACCATTCTGATTTGAAACTAGAAAACCGACGATCAATGTGTGATAATAATGTAGCGAGGTTGGCGATATCAACTATTTAAAATTTTAATCCGAATTAGGTCTTATTGTTAAAATATTCCATAGTTGTGTGTTTGATTATTGGAAAATATTTTCTGAAAAATATTTTTTTCATTCTCTTGTTTTGATAGTTGTCGAAACGGTTTTTTCCGAAACAAGGGAAAAGAGGGGTCTCATTTCGAAATAATTTTTGATGGTCGGTTAATGATGAAATGGTTTGATGAGTCACAACCAATCTTTGATTAGGGTGTGATTGGGCACCCAAAAACATATTTTTCATTTTAAGAAAATTTTAATTTTAATTAAAATGACAAACTTGTGGTCTATGTTACCAAAATTTGAGTTCGAGAGTCGGTTACATGTGAGGAAGGATTAACACCCCCACAGCGCCCTAAATTGGTACCTAGTCGATTAATTAATTTTATTTGAAATGAAATTTACAAGTTCGAGTCTAATTTAATTTAAGATCCCCTAAAAATAATATTCTTTGAATTTTTGAACGAAACATAATATTTAATTATTTCCTATCGAGAAGAATCGATCTCTCATACCTTAGAGCAATCTATTTTTACTCCAATCGAAGTAAAGAAATATTAAAATTCCATTCTAAAATTCATTATTAATTCAAAATAGCAACGCCCAAAATAATTTTAAGAGAAAAACCGATAATATCTAATTATTTCCAGTCGATAATAAATGACCTTTCATGCCTTAAAACAATCATTCATTACTTCAACCGAAATAGAAAGATATTACTATTCTCAATATCGATTCGAGTGTTATTATTTCGAAAAAAAAACCCCAACGAAAATTAATTAATTATTTTACTGATATTTAATGAGAATAAGGATGTTCAATTATTTAAATATCTCGAGACAAGATCTTAGATTTGATCTAACAGTCTTTTCTCGATGAATTTAATTAAAAAAAACATGATCTTTTTCCCAATCCTCCAATTTTAAAATGAATTCGATTTAGTTCGTGTCACTAAAAGGGATATACGTTCATTTTAAAATCATCGAAAGTAACTTTCTTATACGTTAAGACAGTCACTTTACGACATAATTAAAATGAACGAATATTACCCTTAATCAATTTATTTCGAATCGAGACCCCCTTTTCTCTCCTTTAAAAAAAACCGTTTCGACAGCTTGGTGACTCCGCTGGGGATTTTTTAGAGAGTCAGACCATTAGTCAATTAATTAATTGTCATTGCAATAAAAATTACAAGTTCATTCTAATTTGGTTTTTGATCCCCTGTTTAGTTTAAATGAGTGCTTATAATCTGATTAACCGCTAAATAGTTGTTCTGACTTGTTTGTTGGTGTTTTTAGAGTAAATAATTGTTTAGAGTTTTGAGTTTTCTGTTTGGTGTTGCTTGTTTTGTTTTCGCTTTTCCTCACACACTGCACAACTGCATTTGCATGACATGAGCTAAAACCATGCTCTGTTATATTTAAGTAGGAGTGAGAAGCTACTCCCTCGTGCGGTTTTCACCTCCGTACGGGATAGTGAATCGCTCATGGGGTTCACACTTTATGGTCCTCGTGATGGGTTTCACCTCCATATGGACGTAAGGTAGTGTGTCTCCTCGAATTGAACTCGATCTGAAAGCTTATGATGGGCCATGATTGAAGATTCGGTAGGCCAAGGGGTACCGACAAGGCCAATTCGAGGACTTCTCACTTTAGAATCGAACCCGGCATGTAGTAAACTTAGAACCCAGATAGAACCTTGCCCAAATCATAAGAATCCCGCGAGGAGAGTACACAAGGAAAAGCCTATTTGAGCCTTTTAATTTTTGTAGTATAATTTTGATTCCCAAATAAATGTATACGAACTAGAGATCATGCGGTTAGGTTTATTTTTTTGAATAAGCATGAGAACTAGATGATATGAGATTAGGATTTACTATAAGCAAAGCATGTGGGTAGAAATCCTGCTTGGGTAGGATCTACTAAAGCATGATTGGGTAGCTAGCATGCGGGGTAGGTTTTTTTATCAACAAATTATATTATGTCTGATTAATTCATTTATGATCAATGACTAACTTTCTCTTCTCTTTTTGATTTATTTTGTTCTCATTTGCATTGCACTATTCATCCCACTGGCGTTGATCCGTGACCGATGTCCATCTAGTAGAGTAGTAATATGGAACGAAGGATTCAAAAAGAGGTAGAAGACAATGGAGATGTTTTGAGATGGTCCGAGCAGTTCTAGCTAACGAATGGAGAAAGTTTATAGATGGGTATGTGTCTGATCTGATTGGGTACAGTCACATCAATGTCCTTCAAAATGACCTGAGCAAGCTAAAAGAGAAGTTAGGGAAAGTAATGAAGAGCTTAAACAGAGTAGACATCGGACGAAGCTATTTTCAAGAGAAAAGAGTGCGCTAGAGCAACAAATGCAAGAGAGTCAGGCCCAGAATGAGAAATTGAAGGGTATAATCTTGAGTTTAGAGACAACCTTGAGACAGTACCAGAGTCGAGAAAATAATTCAAACCGTGTAGAAGTTGAAAGTTTGAAGAAGCGTGTGATTGAACTCTAGGGAATGGTTCAAGATTTTTAGGAAAGAGTAAGTGAACTGCCATTAGTCCTTATGAAGGAGTTATACAATGGAACCATAATTGGGAATAGGCTCAATGGAGAGTTAAGAAAAGGCGTGGCCTCATTGCGAGCTACTTGCAACATGCTAAAGGAGTGTCTCAGTACTTGGTTAACTTATCACATGAAATTTATGTTATAAACGAAGGATTGAAGCCCGAGAATGAAGAAGCTCAAAGGATTTTAGATTTACTGGGGTACATCCAACAATTAGGAGAACTAGTTCAGATTTATCTATGATATGTTTAAGCCTTGTAACTGAACTTTGTTTCTAGTATAAAAAGTTGTTCTAAGGAATCGGTCCAGAATCAACACCATGCATTGCATTTACATTGCATCTATATTGCATTTACTTTTCACATTGCATTATATTTATTAATAGTCATATTTTTCACCTCTATTAATAAAATATTAATAAAAACGGTACGGTGGTACAATTTTTGAGAGCCAATTGAAGTTACCCGGGCCGTGTCTCTTGAAAGATCGAAATCGATGGATGAAATATTAGCACGTGTTAGTAGGGTCGAGAGAATCCAGGAGCAATTCATAAAAATCCAACAAGAGATGATCGATCAAGAAATAAGGTTCATTTAGTTACATTTAGGTTATATTTTCTTGTGGTGGATAAGTTTTCCTTCGGCAAGATTTATTTGGTTTAATTGATACTGCTGAGGAGAAAGGGTGTGTGTGGATTGTGAATGTGCAGGAAACCTACAGAAGAAGAACATTTCAGTCACGACAACATAATTTGCAAGGGCCTATGGAACAGAGAAGAACTTGAGGAGCAAATTTATCTCACCGAGACATGGTTTATCTGAAGAGTCTGAAGCGGATATGACGAAACTGCCTATGTCACATGCTAGCTGGATGACCTCTTTCACGTGCAAGCAAGGCTTAAATATTATGGCAGTCGCTAGCCGCATTTCCTTTTTAGGCTAGGCAAGATAAAAATGGTTATTTAAGGAATCTCCAATCATGTAAAACCCTAGGAGATTCCTTCCTATAAATATCCAGCCGTAGCCACCAAAGAAAAGAGGCAAGAAAGAAGAGAGAAGAGCTTTATTGAAGGCGGGAGTGGACAACTACAGTGCTTTCTCATTGTTTACCCACCAACCTTCCTTGGTGTCCTCCATAACTAGACTGTAGCAGAGCGGTGATCAGGTCTTGAAAGAGGCTGATCACCAAGGCAGGCTCGACGCTGATAAGAATTGTCACGACAGAGCCCCCAGTTTTGGGAGTCGTTCTTCCTTTGTTCTTAAAGTCTTTACATGTTTGGGGTTGTATTAAACGTTGAATCTTGGATGACTTTTTGATAGCACCATGACTGTCTTATTTGGTATTAAACTTTGTTTTGCCTAGACAATTATTTTCTGCTTTATGAATGATGAATTATGCTTTTGCTCATGACTGTTTTGTTCATTGTTTGAATATTTTACCTTGACACTGTAAGAGCATCGAGAGATTGCCTGGGGTTTTGGTAAAATATGTCTTGGAAATGTAAGAGCATCGAGAGATTGACTTTTGTCTAGATAGTGATTCATAGATTCGAGAGAACTAAGATAGATCTATGTGAATAATGGAATGGGTCTGGGATGGTGATGTTCTAACTTGTCTACCTTATAGATAAGGAGCGGGTTTCAATCGACTAAAAGGGATAGACGCTAGAGTAGGATAAACAACGCCTATAATTCAAACTAAGAGGTATTGCTATAACAACAGTCTGACAAACCAAGGGTTGTAGTTAACGCTGAGTAGTATAGCCATAGCAACCATCTAAGAATACTTAGTAATCCTGTCGGGTAGCTTAAGAAAGTCATAATAATTTATTCTAGACTTAGAATAATTGTTGTCAATGTAAAACATTAGCATAAGTGCTCTGTGATAAGTCTGA